AAGGAAAAATATTCGTGACAAATTTAGTCCTATAACATTGCCTGAAGTGGCGTAAGTTTTTCTTTTTGTTTGCCTTGTTGCACAAAAATCACTACATACTTTGTTTTCGATAGCATACTACCTATCGTGTGCAACTTCGAGTAAAAACAATTCGATAACGACTGCGGTGATTCGCGTAAGTTACATTACGATGATGACTGCGGTGATTTGGCCCCAGATTCCAAATTTTTTTTAGTTTTCAAAATAATAAGCAACAATTAAATTTGTTTTTTTTTATTTGAAATTTTACTAAAATAGTAGTTTTTTGCCTTTTAAACAATTATGGGGTGTGCACAAGAAGAGGTGTACGGATCTGGCCAATCTGCTGACTCGACTTGAGTTTGAGAGAAATAATACAATGTACCAAATCGAGAATGTCCGAAGTTTTCTTGTAAACTTTTAACACGGATGGACGTGCATTTGATCGAATTCGCAATTTGTATATCATATAAACTTTCAAATAAATGCGTTTGGAAGTACAATGAAACAAGGGTAACCTCATTTCAAATTAGCATTCCCAGCTCTGCATTTTCTGTTAGAACAATTTTGTTCTTGTAAAATGTTAGTTGTTGTAGCTGATGCATGATGCCTGGTTGGCGCGGATCTAGTGAACCCTACAACATACCAGACCAAAGACATAGAAGTGTAAAGATGGGACAAGACAGAGTCAAGATATGGCAACCCTGTGAAAATACCTCTGTTGTTATGATATCGTAACAACATTAGTTGTGTTCCAGTACTTTTTTAGTAGTAAAACTAGCAGAAGAGAGAACAGTTCGAAATGTCATTCTCATTTAGGTTTGCTCAAAAAATAAGGGAACGGAAAATTAGCAGAAATGCGATAAAATGTCAAAATTCCAAAAGTAAACAGCATAAATCGGACTGGTGAAACCTTACTGAAAAGAGCGCCAATATTTAAAAAATGAATATTGAAGACGATAAGTTAAAATTAATAATTTATAATAATATTTAATAATCTGATTCCTCATTCAGCCAGTCCTCTTCACTGCTGGAATCATCCAAAAGTGAATACATCAGTTGCTCCATATTTTCTCTTTCTGTTTTTTGCACGACAAATATTAGTTTTTCCTTTAGTTTTCAAGTTGATCATTTTCTTTATTGAAATGTATCAATACATTTTTCAACCTTGTTAGCCCTGCCAATTAAATGTCAAATTTACAAAATGCACATTTCTGCTCGGCCAAATTCATGTAGCTAAAACAAGCAGAAATGTGCACCACTCAGCGCCATTTTTTTCTCGAGAGAGCTGCAAGTTTTGCTACTTTTTGGAGTACGGGAACGCGTTGTAGCAGAATTAGTGCTAATTAGTACTAATTTGCAGGTTCTGGAACACAACTATTGTTAGCAATGTTAAGCGATTAAAACCGCTTAAGCTGGCCATAGACGAACGATTTGTTGGTGTGATTTGCAAATTTATTGCTGCGATTTATTGCATATCGTTTCTCCACACACGCTCGAACAAATCATAATTCGGCCGACGTTGAAGAGTAAGCATATGCTACGAAGCGGATGATGTTCATTTTGTGTTTGAACTTCGGTTTGTGCTTCTGTTTGAATTTTGTGGCAGAAAATTTTTTATTTAACAATTGGTTTTTTCTGTTGATAGGAAACTTAAAAAAACATGTGCGACGATACAGTGGCTGATGCAGCTGCGCTTTTAATTATATATACATGTTTCGACATGGAAAATAAAAATCAAGAAAAGAAAAAAATCTAAAAAAAAAGAAAAAGAAAATGGAGTGAAGAGTGGCTGCCATGTAGCAACGCTCAAAAATATGGAAATGCTTACTCCAAGGGATTATAAAAATTTTCCATTTTGTTACGAGTTTTTTCCCTGATTTTTGTTTTTCTAATTTGTCTTTATATTTTTCACTTTTTGTTTGCCAAATGGCATTTTAATTTTTTAACACATCAAAAAATTCTATCATAAAGTCTTTGCTTGCCATTTTTTGTGTGCACTACATGACCTTTCGTTACAATGGTTGAAGAGCAACTGAAATGGCAAAATGGCTTAAAATTTGCGCAGTAGCCCACACACGTATGATTTGTTTGCCAACAAATTGCAAGTTTTTGAAAATTTTCAAAAACTTGCAATTTGTTCGCAAACTACCCCACAGACGTAAAAACGCGACCACAAACCCAACAAATTGCTCGAATTTATCGTTCGTCTATGGCCAGCTTTAGGCAATATGCAATTAACTGGGAAAGTCTATGGAGTAAAATTTTGAAACCCAATTTTTGGATTTTTCAAATTTTTGTTTGTCTTATATTTCTATAAATGGGTTTTTTATATTAACATGGTCCTGTCATGAGCTGTTATCTGGATAGTATAGACACAAACCATTTGCTCAAAATGCATTTTGTCTAGTCTTTACCATTTTAGGTCTTTGACCAGACGTGCTGTTTTAAGTTTCTATTAAAAATTATTTAAAAAAGTTAGAATCATAAGAAAAAGACCTCCAAATTGCATAATTTTGCAATGGAGGATCCCGATTCTCTTCCCCCCGACATGGAGTTTGATGTCACGGAAGAGATCGCATCAACCTCCAAACAATTTCCGGCTTTTGCAAACTCCGCTAGTATGCAAGAAAACAAGACAAAACAAAATGAACGCAAGAGACTGCGCCTAGAAAGTGCAATATCATCAATAAATGTATCGGATCTGGCTGAGAAATTAACCAACTACAATCCGCAGGACCAAAACAAATTTGGCATTTTGGGGGCATTGGCAAACATTGACATTTCCACACCTGTCAGCAATCCGACCACAACCAAAATCAATGTTCCTCCAAAACCAAAAATCTCTTGGTGCCCACCGATTTTTACATACAAGTCAACATAAACTCTCTAGTAGAGTCATTACGTGCCGCATCCCCACAGCGCACTTTTAAAATTAAAAATATAAATAAAAACAAAAGTAAGTTGTACTTTGCAGATTCTAAAGTTCATGCCTCAATGATGGATCTTTTAAAGTCAAAAAATATTCAGTCATACTCTTTCAAGGATCAAAAGCAGACATCCCTGATAATCCGAAACCTCTTCTCTCTAACTGAACCAGAGGCAATTAAAAACGAACTAGATCAGTTAGTTCCTGAAACAGTGGCCAGTGTCTCAAAATTTAGAACACCGACATCAATTAAAAACAACACTGATACGGGTCTCTTCTTAGTTTGCTTATTGCCAGGAAAGAAGTTTGGCGAAATTTCACATATTCGCCAACTGCAATACCAATCCATAATCTGGGAGAAACCCAAAAAAAGGGATACCTTCGTCCAATGCCGAAGATGTCAAGGGCACGGACATATAGCACGTAATTGCAATTGCTCTTACAGATGCGTTAAATGTAAAGACAAACATCTTCCTGGAGAATGTAAAAGGTCCAAGACAGAACCTTACTGTGTTAATTGCGAAAAAACAGGTCATCCCGCCAACTGGCGAGGATGTCCCTCCTATAAAAAATATGCCTCCGACAGGAAAAAAAAGATTGCAGTAGCTTTAGAAAACAGAGCTCTAGCTCAAAACAATGTATCTAAAGCATTAAACACATCCAAATATTCACCGGAAAATAAAAACTTTTTCAAACTTATTTAAAAGTGTCACATCTATTCCCCAAGATTCAACCAAAAAACCACAAATAATTCAAGACTTCCTTAAGCTAGCAAATCTTTTTTTGGAACCTGAAGAGCTGACCTTAGAGCAAGAAATTTAAATATTCCTAACAGAATATAAAAACTTGTCAAAAACCGAAGCAAAAAACAATTTTTAATGCTTCTTAATAAAGTTAAATTGAATTATGGACCATAGATCACTAAAATTTCTTACTTTCAATGTACGATCCCTTGTGGATAGAAGCCGACAAATAGAATTAAAAAACACACTACTTCACAATAACATCGATATAGCATTCATCCAGGAATGTCATCTCAGATCCAACATGCGTGTCAAAATAAGTGGATACACTTTTGTCTACGACAATTCTCCCACTGGAGTTGCAATTTTCATCAAGGACACAATTCAATTCAAGAGAGTTTCCTTTCCGGCCACTGGCATTAATACGACACTTATAGAAATTTCATCTAACAATTCAACAAAAAAATACCTTCTGGGATCGGTATATATCCCGTGCAGTTATCCTGTACAGCGCCTCGATCTTGATCTGAATACATTACTTCAGTTACGAAAACTCAAATGGAAGAGTCTTGAGGTCCTGGTTATCAGATAATTCCATGGATGTCATCAGGATATGCGATACTAGCCCATCGTATCCAAGTGGTACCTCTTACCTGGATCATTTCCTACTCAGCAACCATTTAATCAACAATAAAAATCCTATCCACTAAACCCACTTTCTCGGATCATTTCCCCATTAAGTTAGACCTAAAACTTGATCATTTAAACATCGATTTGACGCCTCCGCAATTCTTCATATCCTATAAAAACACTAATTGGCATAACTTTCGTCAGGACATAGACCTTATCTCACGTCAAATAATGCCTTCCATCAATAGGAACCTGACCAATGACGAGATTGATACCACTCTAAACGGTTTTAAGAGTCATTTTTCCAATATACATGAAATACACTCCGAAAAATTTAAAATAGAGGATAGGAGCCTACCATACTCGGACAAAATCAAGAAAATCCTACAAATTAAACATCAATGGCAACGAAATCTCAAAAAAATCTTCCATCGTTCAGGCAACAGGACAAGCCGTGAGTACTCCATTCTTTCTAATCAAATTCAGCTCTTGAAAATAATAATAAAGCAGCTAGTCAAAATAGAAACAGCTCAAATATTTAATGATAGATTACAAAAAATCAAACCCAGTCCGTCCGCCTTTAAAGAAATATACCGATTTACAGGAAGCAATAAATCATCTTTCTGCCGTCAGATCAACCATGCTAACAACACTATTACAAACAGTAACGAGATTGCAGATCATTTTAAGAATTTTTATTCCACCATATTTGAAGGCTCAACAACACTTCCTGCCTCAGATGAGCATAATTCTACGCTGTTAACATGTATCAACTCAACACCAACTCATATATACTCATTCGATGAAAATTTTAATTCTCTCCACAATCCAGACACATACCACTTTACTTCATCTGAAAATATAAAAAACTTTATAATCAAGAGATTTCCAGAATCCACAATTAATTTACTCACGTGCCTTTTCAATAATTGCATTAACAACGGATACTTTCCCAAACAATGGAAAGTTGCCAAAATCATACCCATTAAGAAGAAAACAGCAAATTGCAACGTTGATGACTTTCGCCCAATTTCCCTTTTGTCAAATATTGGTAAAATACTGGAAGTAGTGCTGAAAGAAAAATTAAACAATGAATTAACTATTGATCCAATATCAAACTACCAATTTGGCTTCAAATCTGGACATTCCACTCAGCACGCACATCTCAAGTTTCATAACGACGTAACAACAAACTTAAGGAGTCAATCATGCACAGTTGCAATATCATTGGATATACAAAAAGCGTTTGACTCAGTGTCTCACCTCGGTATTTTGTTCAAATTAATTCAACTTGGAGTAGATCCATTTATTATAAAAATGCTAAAGAGTTTCTTCAATTCTCGTAAATTTATGGTTCAGATCCAGAATACATCATCATCCTTGGGCCATGTAAATAGCGGCGTTCCTCAAGGTAGTATCTTGGCACCATACCTTTTTAACCTGTTTCTTCATGACTTTCCACACATGTATCAACATTCCAAAGCAATCCTGTATGCAGATGATTGCATAATCTACGCACATAATCCTTCGCCAGTCATTGCCCTGAGTGTTGCTTCAGAACACCTACACATAATCAACAACTTTTATAAACAATGGGGTATTAAAATAAATGCCGCTAAATCGGTAGCCATATGCATACGTAATGCGTCGGGCAAATGCCCTCGAAAAGTTGTACCAGAAAGCAAGCAATTAAAATTGTCTTTAGAAGGAGTAGAAATTCCTTTCAGCACATCCTTAAAGTACCTTGGTGTAACATTTAATCATCTCCTAAAATTCAACGAACATGCGTTCCATCATGCAAAAAGTTAAAGGTATATTAGCGAGTTTTTCAAACATCCCCTCCGAAAAAAATTAGTACCGCAGTGCTGCTCGAGTACTCGCCAAGCGATACCGACCACTCGCTCTTCATTTCCCCGTTAACGGTAAGAGCTGCTGACTTTTATACTGGACTGTCGTGTGAAAATCAGTACTCGCTTTTGCAGCGCTTTGTGAGGGGAAAGAAAGTAACTGAACATACTGCACGAACGTAAATATTCGCAATGCCATTGCGAATAATTAAAAGAACGAAAGACAGATTTTGTTTTCATTCAGCTATTTTTATTTCAAAACAATATTAAATTACAAAATAGAAATTAAGTAAAATATATAATTTCAAAAAAAGGCACTTATTTGGTTTTTCATTTTTCAACTTCTTCTACTTTTTCCACATTAAATAGTATTTGTTCATAAATAGCTTTTTGTTTTAATACTCTGCGTTCAAAGGTACGCTTATTCATTTTTTACATACACTTTCTTTTCTTTTTCACTTAAAACAAAACCAATATTTTACTTGCAAGTCCACACAATGCACAAAACACAAATCACAAATAAGCATAATCAGACGCTGACAGTGTTACCAATATATGCGATTATAAAAAAAACAGTGCAGCACTTGCGAGTAGTCAAGCAGTACTCGCCGCCTACAACCATTGATGCTACTGACTTTTACATCAGTGTAGCACCACCCGCAGTTCATCAATACCTCCACCGTTTTCTGCAGGGTCCTTAACAGCAATTATTTACCTCAAAACACCAAGCTGCTCCTATATAAGGTGGCAATTAGATCTATCCTAACATACGCATTTCCAATCTGGTTTACTATTTCCCCAATAGTTGCCAACGAATTGGAAATCCTGGAAAGAAAGGTCTTAAGAAAATGCACAAACAAATATTATCAATCTCACCACAAAAAATTCTCCAATACTTACATATACAAAATCTCTAACGTTGTGCCATTTTGTAAGTACGCCCAACAACATCAAAGGAAGTTTGTAGAGAAATTGGCTACTCACGAAAACCATATTGTAAGCGAAATCCACGAAATCGAGAAAAATATATCCTGGTCAGATTCGTCATATCTGTCTACAGTGGGTATTCTCAACGAACCTACTGAAGATATCGCAGATGACTATACCTTACCACGCTTCTACATTAAATCAGTACCTGGAACCCACAGAGGTTAATCATTAAAATTAGTTAATTATAATAATTCATTATTTGTTACAAAATATATACACTTTTACTTTTAAGCAGCCTATACTGTAGATCTCTCTTTATGAGAATTCGATTTATTAGCTGAGAACTTACTGTGATATTCAAAGAATAAGAAACTTTTATGTATAATTACACATTCTGTGTAAGAGCACTGACTGTCACTCCGTTTTGATGTCATATTTTGTTAACTAGTTTTAAGATTTTGTTAATTATTTATTTATTATACACAGTCATTAGCACTGTTAGTTACAGTTGAGGCCGGGAGCAAGCCTTATATTCTTCATTCATTGTTTACATTTTGTGTAATGATTTCACAATTCGCATGTAGCATATTATACACTTTCATTGTACGTTAGAATAAGACAACAATAGTTCTAACAGTCTCAATTCATGTTAATCGTTCACTTTGTATTTAAATGTACCATCGAAAAGAAGAAGACTCAATAAAGTAACTTACTTACTTACTACTTACTATGGTAGCTGATGCATAACCTTACCTTGAGTAAAATTAATAATATTCTGACACATTTCCTTAATAAAAAATCCATTTGATTTCTAATTTTGATTATTGAGGTATACTATACATTTTTGTTCTGTTCTAGAACAAGATGTTATTGCAAGTTGCATAACTAGTGGATTCTGCAGATTCTGGGACAGATCAGAAATTTATGAAGGTACCAACAAAATAGAATTTTTCAGCATTTTTTCGTAATTAAGAATTGAAATCTTTTCCTTCAGTGAGTGTCAGATCATTGCCCAAAAATAAAATAATGCGCAAGTTTACAAGAAAAATATGAATTTGAACTTCATTTTATATTTCTAAATGTGTGCATTGCTTCACAATAACAATGCACACACAAAATCTACTGTAACGCCGGAGTAACACACACATTTAAGCGCACGTACACAAACGACACATAATTATGTCGATAACATGGTTCGTCGTCATCATCGACATATTTCTATTTTTGAGGACACCATGCAAATGGTCGAGTTGATCCTGCCACGATCGAACCTTTGACAGTGACAGACATGAATAAAAATGGGGGTTATTGGTGAGTGCCACTGTCGATCAAATATTTAGCACATGATTGAGTAGACAAAAGACAGTGTGTCGAAAATAACACAGTTCGTTCAAATCGTCTTGTGCTACCCTTTAATCGATACACGATATCGTATATCCCCCATAATGATACCTCCAGATATTTGGTATTTTGATGAATTTAGCCAAATTTTTCAATGAAAATGTCAAAAAAATCCACGCAAGGAGTTCCTTCTGAGCATGGCTCAAAAAGAAAAGTTGCTTAACTTCAATGAATCTAGAAAAATACAACTCAGCACTGGAGTCTTATAGTGTCTAATAGACTTTTAAATATGCATCAGTTGGTTTGGTTTATTTTCCATTTTTTAACAAAATTCTTATATTGGGAAAAACCCGCAAAACAAGAATGCAAAAAAGTAGTAGGACAATACAGATTTATTCCAAAATTGGACAATGAGCTGCTCATTAACGTCGAAAATATGCATTTATTTTGAAACCCAATTTGAAATAATTTCAAGTTTTTGTATTTCTTGTTCAAAACAATACATACACAATCACAAAATATATATGTATGTATATAAGGCACCAAAAAAAAGTATATAGGGTGTAGCTAGAAAAATACAACTCTGGATGGAGTCTTATAGTGTCAAACAGACTTTTAAATATGAAACAGTTGGTTTTGTTTATTTTTATTTTTTTAACAAAATTCTTTTATTGGCATTTTGGTCTTATTCCACAAGAAGGATTCTAAAATAGTAGGACAATACACTTTCATCCCAAAATTTTACGATGTGATGCTTATTAACGTCGAAAATATGCATTTATTGCACAACTGTGTTTGAAATTATTTCAAATTATTATTTTATTTTTTATTCAAAACAAAACACACACATTCACAAAATGTGTATAGGGTAAGTGTACCAGTAGTCGGCACTTTTATATTTTCAATCTTTCAACATTCTGAGTGAAATCATTTAATTGCAGGAAAATAAAGTTGTTCAGATTCCAAATTTTGTTTAGTTTTCAAAATAATAAGCAAAAATTGAATTTGTTTTTATTAAATTGGAAAAAAATGCTATTTTAATAAAATAGTAGTTTTTGCCAGTGGTCGGCACCATTTTTCAATGCTCGGCATGTCTATTTGCCAGTAGTCGGCATATGGTATTTCAGTAAAAAAAATATTATTTTGTATATTTTTTTGTGTCAAACAATATAAAACAATGCTATATTACTAATTCACAGTTTAATACAGACTTTGAAATTATATTCGTTTCTAAATAGTGTTTTATTAAACTATCATTCTAAACCATATATAGGTAGAAAGTCAAGAATAGTATGGTTACCATCAGTAAGGTATGGATTTTCAATTAAAATAAAGATGAGATTAAATAAAAAATAACCTTTTTTATATTTGGAATTGATATCTTTCCTTTAGATAGCCAACATTTTTTGAAAAAATGCCACCGCTATCTAAAGCGTCAAATTGCTTATTTAAAAAACCTACTCAATTTAGAAAGGTTCGTCAAAAAGCACAAATAAATGCCACTGACGACTTAAAACTATTTTTTTATTAGAGTAGTTTTTGGATTATTTTTTAATACTTTTCTTAAGTTTTAGTGAAATTGTTCAAAACTTATATTTTTCTAGTAATCGGCACATCCTGCCGACTACTGGCAAAACTTTTTTCTTCTGTTCCTAATGACGGCATTAAATAATATAACAGAAAAATGCTTTATTTGTATGTTTTCTAGTTATAAAATAATCTTTTGACTGTTATTTACTATTATAAAATATTTCTGATTCCAAAATTATACATGTAATTTAATTAAATCGATTATTAAGTTGACGCCACCACTAATTTGTTCTTTACAAACAACAACTATCGCATGCGTTGGAAAACACTCACTTTTTTGCAATTATTTCATTATTTGGTCAATTCTATTTTTAGTTATTTAAGTTTAAATTTCAAAACTGCCGTCTACTGGGACATGCCGAACTTAAGGTAAGGTCACATTGGGCAAATATTTGACGAAAAATGTGAAATATTTCTTTGTCACAATCTGACCACAATTTGACGGTAAATACAAAAACAGCTGATTTTGGGAAAACAAAATTATTTGCCAGAAAACAAAAATTTGACCAATGTGTCCATAATGTGAACATATATGATCAATTATTTTCCTATTTTTTGGTCAAATATTTATTTGACGATGCAAAGTTTTGTAAGGTCAAACAAGGAAAAATATCAGTTTAAAACATTGGACAGTATTTAAGAACAGGAGCATTTGTAGCATGAATAGGAAAACAAACGAATGCAATAAGTGGCTTTGTTTATTTGATATTTTTGAATTAACTGAATTTGAATGTTTAGTAAAAAATGTTTATATTTGGTCTGTTCCAGAACTGCGAGAATGTAAGTGTTTTTACTACGATAACCGATTTTCCCTTTATTATATCGAAGAAAATTGCGAAACTAGTAGATTCTTGCAGGTTCTGGAACAGGATATGGGTAGATGCATCAACGCTTGAAACAATGATATGTCAAAAACTTTGAAATGTTTTGACAAAAATAAGTAGATTTTTATGTTTTCCTATACAGCGAAAAATCGGCGTTTGCAATGATATATATTTTTCAACAATTTTACAAATTTCAATAATATTTCATTCATTATTTTCAATTTCAAAATTGTTTTGACAGTTCATTGTCCCAGCAGTTATGTCGATGTGACTACCTGTATTCTTCTACCATGATACAAAAAAAAATGCAAAAAAAATTGTTCTGGCAAGGAATTTATTCCACAACAGCTGTTCTTTTGCTTCCCTTCTCCAAATAAATTATACCCGAAACTACATTTTCTTCATGTCTCTCTTTCACTCTCTCTGTCTATTTCTCTCGGCCAAATAAACTTATGTTTCCTTACAGTTTGATCAAACAATTTAATGGGAAAATATATTTTACGAATGTGAACATGTGTCAAACATGTTTTCCCATAGCACTGTTTGACGCTGTTTGGTGACTGCTTGAACAAACAAAATCTGTCAAATATTTGACTGTAATGTGAACATCGAATCAACTCTGTATGAATTTCACATTTGTTCAGTCAAATATGGGAAAACAAATTTCGATCAAATATTTGCCCAGTGTAACCGTACCTTTAGGCGCACTTGCCATATGTTTTGGCAGAATAAGGGCACCAAAAGAAATAAACTATTTAGGGGGTAGCTTTGTTTTACCTTCTATAGGCCACCATATAACGGTACCTCCCAATATTCGGTATTTTAATGACTTCAGCAACATTATTTACGGGAGTACTACAGCCTATGACAAAATGACTAGAAAAATGTCCTCTATGAAAATTGATTAAATTTCGAGCCGTTTTGCTTTACCCACGAAGACGGTTGGGCGTGTGGCTAACAGAGCAAAGAATAATGCTGTATAGATAAAAGTTTAGTATTTAGTGGACCTTTATTATATATAAAGAAAATAATAATATGAATATATAAAAAATTAAACAAGAACCTTCCTTGAAAAAAGAAAATTAAGAATAAAAGTAATGAAACCTGAATCAAAATAAATTAAAATACAAAATTAATTACAAATTTGAAATGGACAAACATTAAAACTTGTTTTAAACAAAGCTATAAATACACGATACTGAAATAGAAGTTAGCAAAACTTAAAGTCTATACGAAACCCGGAACGTTGCCTAGATATCAAACAAAACAGTAAAGAACGTCAGCCGATATCTTCCTGGAGCCACATTCATCATACATCTAATCCACCGAGGGATGCGCAGTGTTGTTGCATTGCCAAACCGGCATGCTCTGGTATTTTTCTCAGACCTTCTTATACGTCGCTCTCAGACAGATAGACGGACGACAGCACACATAATTAAATTCTCGGTGTTTGATAAAAAAGAATTTATTAAAACATATATTTGTGAAGGAAAACCATTGGGGAATTAGTGTAAACTATACTCATCTTGTATATTTTGTGGTAAATATATGTTTCTATACAAATGTTAGCCGTTGAAAGTGGGGTTTTTCTCCCATCGTTTTCCATTCCACGTAATTAACGCACGTAATTAAACGCTAAAATCTAAAAAAGAAACTGCATACTTAGCTTACGTTTTCTTACCATACCAATACTTACCTTACGCCTCGAGGAAGAACCGATCCGTTCCCTGGAAACCGCTAAATCTCCACACCACGTCCAAATCCAGTTTACATCTAAAAACAGTGTGAAACTTTATCAGCCTGTTGACGATATTGAAAGAAAATTTGTGCGAACGAAAGGTAGTCACTCACTTTCGTATTAGAATGCGTTTCACTAATATTCGTTCTTTCTTTCGCATAGCTTTACGTGACGAGTTCTGTTAAATATACCTTTTAAAAATTAATTGCGAATGTAAGCAAAAAACCCCAGAATGACTGATTTAAACGCGAAAAAGCAATAAAAAATACAACCATACGTAAGCTGGCTGTGCCTGAACTGACAGTTCGGTTGTAAACAAACAAATTGTAAATAAAGAAACAAAATAATATTCCCAGTGATTGTGTTCGAATTACTTGTGTTCTTAAAAAAAATAAAAAAATGAATATTGATGATGAAAAATGAAAATTATGTTTAGGGGCTTCAAAATGTACCACGGAGGCATTTAAGAGACGCTTCCAATTTGTTTGAAGTATCTAACAACCATTAAGTATGATTGTATTTTTACATTTTTTTTTTAAATTTTTTGTGACCAATTTTCTTGTGTCGAAGAAAGTTTTTCGGGCTCTTTTAGATATGCTAGAAGATAAATGAGCAATATTTATTTTGAAAAAAATTTCCTGAATTGTAGTCATACGACAGCAAACGCAGAAGTGACTGATTTTGACATTTGTGTTCGCATGCGTGCAAAAGAAAAAAGATATTGGAACGCAAAATTGCACTGAAATGCTTACGTTTTCGTTCGCATTGATTTTCGTACAATTTTTCGTTATGATGGATTTTAGTGGAACGGAAATCAGCTGTTTGTCGTGTAAAAGTTATGTGAACGTGTTCTTTCGAGATCGTGGAATAGGCTGTTGCCTTTTTCCCATTTTCAATCAAGCAATATTTATTTTGAAAAAAAAAAACCTGAATTGTTGTCATACGACAGCAAACACTCAAGTGGCTGATTGTGACATTTGTGTTCGCATGCGTGCAAAAGAAAGAAGATAGTGGAACGCAAAATTGCACTGAAATGCTTACGTTTTCGTTCGCTTTGACTTTCGTACATTTTTTCGTTCTGATAGATTTTAGGGGAACGTCGTGTAAAAGGCATGCGAACGTGTTCTTTCGATATCGACTCTAATATAGAGTCATGTTCTCTATAACAGAGTATTGTGGTTCACCTTTGGTACATCAGTTCAAACTTTCTGATGCGTACAAAAAGTCAATAGTTTTCAGCAAAAATGTATACAATTTTCACACATTTTGTTCTCTCGTCTTCTAAACAACCATGTTAAGGCAAAAATTAAATTCTATAGATATTATTTTTTTTTTTTTGAAATATAATTTAATCCACAAGAGCTAAATTAAAAAAAAAATCATATCGATTTTGTCACTAGTATTACAGCACAACGTAATCAGGTAAGAGCTTGCTGTTAAATGTATTATTCTACTAGGGGCCTAAAATGGGCTTTATAAATTTTTGTACCATGGCGCATTGGATCTTTTGTCTCGTTCCAAAAAGTTTGCGTTTCTGAACAACCTTCTCGCCATAAGCCAGCATTTTGCACCATAATTTAATCAACATATGCTTATTTTTTACGAAAATCGTATTGGGTCAAAAGTACGTTTTCATACAAGTCCGGGTTAATTAAATCCAATAAAAATTACAATAAATTTTGACTATGGGAAATATACGCTAAAATTATTATGGTTTGTCAATTCTCCCTTTTAAACCCGCTAAAGTTTTTGTTTGTAAATTCATTGAAATCCGTGTATTTCTTACTATTATTCGTGCAGAAGGGAAGAGGACCTAATGCAACAATTTATGAAATGAATTAACAGACATGTCACAATCGAGTGTGGTATAAATTCCATATTTAGCTTCTTCTTTTTTTCGTGATTTTAACGTCAATTTTTGGGTTAACCTTTTGGGTTAACCTTTTGGGTTAATCTTTTGGGTTAACCTTTGGCTATAGATATCTTACCATTTATTGCGATAAAATTGACTTTGCTCTTGTTCAAGAATGTCACCTTCGAAAGAACCGTTACGTCAAATTAGACGGATACAAATTTATATACGACAACTCACCTATTGGAACAGCAGTAATAGTGAAAAATGACATAACTTTCACTCGAATACAAAAAAACGATATTGGCATTAATACTTCTTTCATACAAGTAGAAATTTCTTCAAACAACGGACCTAAAATGTTCTTGATTGGCACGGTATATATACCTTGCAGTTATCCTGTCAACAGTCTCGAAGCAGATCTAAATAAACTTTTGGAATTCTGTACTTCTTTTGATGGATTTATCATCGGTGGTGACCTTAACTCCAAAAATCCTGTATGGGGTGATTTGAACGAAAATTCAAATGGTAAAGTTTTGTTTTCATGGCTAAGTAACAACTCCTTAGATGTCACGCGGCTTTGTGACACCTCGCCGTCATACCCAAATGGACCGTCTTACTTGGACCATTTTTTATTCAGCCCACATCTCATCATCTTCACATCTTACAAAAATACAAACTGGCATGATTTCCGTAGAAATTTGGAGACAATAACTCAACAAATTATGCCACCGACAAATAAAAATCTCGAAAACAATGAGATTGAAATGATCATCGAGAACTTCAACAATGAATTTAACAGCATTCACAGCTCTAATTCAGAAAAGATATTCATAAAAGACGGAAAATTCCCTCTTTCCGATAGAACTAAAAACTTTCTTAAAGTCAAACACCAATGGCAGAAAGAACTGAAAAAAATTTTCCACCGTACAGGAAACAGAATCAACCGTGAGTACATAATTCTCTCAAAACAAGTTCAATTACTTAAAAACATAATAAAGGAGCTCATAAAAATAGAATCTGCCAACATGTTTAGCAACAAGCTGGAAAAAATCAAACCCGGACCATCAGCTTTCAAAAAAATTTCCCAATTTACAAAAAAAAACAAACTCATCTTTTTGTCAAAAACTTCAACACGGCGACAGTATTATTACAAACAACACTGAAATTGCAAATAAGTTTCAATTATTTTATTCTTCAATTTTCATAGAGAAATTGCCTCTACATCCAGTTCACGATCTGAATTCCAGGGTTTCATCGTGTATTGACGCCACAACACCTTACATTTACACTTTCAATGACGAATTCAATGTCCTGGACAATCCCGACTCCCATCATTTTACTACTCCTGAAAAAGTAAAGAGTGTTATTGCTACTACCAATTCAAAAAGATCTTGTGGATCCGATGGCATATCAAACTTTATACTTAAAAAATTTCCGGACTCAACAATAAGATTTTTCACTTGTCTGTTCAACAATTGCATCAACAATGGGTATTTTCCAATACAATGGAAACGCGCCCAAATCATTCCAATTAAAAAAAAGCCGAATGCTATGTTTGTTGATGACTTTCGGCCAATTTCGTTGTTGTCCAACATTGGGAAAATCTTCGAGTTAATCCTGAAAGAAAAAATTTTGAATGAACTCACAATAGATCCGACCTCTGTCTACCAATTTGGATTTAAACCCGGACATTCTACCCAACATGCTCTTCTCAAGTTCCATAACGATATAACTTCTAATTTGCGGAACAAAATGTGTACCGTGGCAATATCGTTAGACATTCAAAGAGCATTTGACTCAATATGTCACGTCGGAATTATTTACAAGTTAATAGAAATTGGCATTGACCCATATTTAATAAAAATGATGAAAAGTTTCTTCACATCAAGAACGTTTTCCGTCCATATAAATGACGCATCATCACCTCCAGGAGAAGTAAATAGCGGAGTTCCACAAGGCAGTATTTTGGCACCATTTCTCTTCAATCTATTCCTTCACGACTTCCCTCACATTAGTCAAAACTCAAAAGCAATTTTATACGCCGATGATTGCCTCATTTATGCACATCACACATCACCATCAACTGCATTAAATAACGCAAAAAATCACCTTCAGAACATCAACAGCTACTACAAAAAGTGGGGTATACAAATAAACGCCGCGAAGTCTGTTGCAATCTGCATACGTAACGCCTCCGGAAAATGTCCATGGTACGTTGTCCCAGAGAGCAAATCACTACAACTGTCCTTGGATGGCGTAAACATACCATTCAGAACCTCTTTCAAATATCTCGGCATCCAATTCAACAACTTGATGAAATTTAATTTCCATGCCCGCTCAATCATGAAAAAAGGAAAAGGTGTTTTAGCAAGATTTGCATATGTGTTAAACAATAAACACCTACCTCAAAAAACAAAACTCCTCCTCTACAAGGTAGCAATCCGTCCTATTTTGCTCTATGGATTTCCGATCTGGTTCTCTATTTCCCCAACAGTGGCCAAAGAATTAGAAGTCCTGGAAAGAAAAATTATAAGGAAATGTATCAACAAAAACTTCATCAATGAACATAAACGATACTCAAACACCCACATTTATACTGCGTCAAATGTTGTTCCTCTTTGTGAATATGCCCAACGCCAACAATTAACATTCGTCGAAAAACTTGCCACGCATGAAAACTATCTGATGAATGAAATTTATGAAATTGAAAAAGAAATTTCCTGGTCACAATCCTCCTACCTATCATCTGCAGGAATTTTGAACGAAACGCTTGAAAGCCTTCTTGACCACAACTTGCCACAATTCTACCAAAAAATCGCGTCTGGCTGTCACAGAGGATAGATAAATAAGTTTATTCTTATTTACATTGTATACTATATAGCAACTTAATATACCACATAAGGTTCCATATAATTGTTTTTACATATAAGCTCACTGAGCACTCGATTATTATTATATGATACATTTATCTGTGATAATGTTATTTTACTACACATAAACAAAAGCTCTTTGAGCACTCGATTAACTGTGATAAACTATACATTAAGTATACAATTATATTTAAAAACTATCACTTTTATACCCTCTGTTCGACACTGTTTTAACAGACCACTTTGTTATTTAGTTTTTTAGTTTGTTTTGATTGCTTATTTATTATTACTGCAGACGTCAAAGCGCTGCTCGTATCAGCGGAGGCCGGGAGCAAGCCTCATTTTCTCTTTTCACCTTGCACGAAAAATAATACATTCTCATATTACGCTAAGTAGCATATCTTTACGACTTCACTGTATAATAGAACAAGACGACTATAGTTCTAAGTTAAACATGTTAACCATTCGATTTGTACGTACATTTACCAAAGAGAAAGAAGAAGACTCTAATAAAGTTTACTTTACTTTACTTTACACTGTTACCCGGGTAAACAGTTATTTTGTATGTAAACGCGTAATAGCATTTGTTATGAATCATGGCAGAAGAATATAGATAGACGCATCGACGCAGCTGCTGGGACAATGAACTGTCAAACAGATTTTGGAATTGAAAATTTTGAATGAAAATTATTTAAATTTGTAAAAATTGTTGAAAACGCATATTATAATAACCTCTGTCAATCTACTTGTATTTGAAAAACATTTAGAATTGTTCTCAAGCGTTTATGCGTCTACCTGTATTCTTCTACCATGTTATGAATCAAATCGTGCGCTCACGCAACATTTTGTTAAAAGTCGTTTAAGGAACTAGATCCTCCGTGAACTATTCAACCCAAGAGAAAGTCGATCTACACACCCCTAGAATCGATATTATTGAAATGAGTTCCCAGACAGTGCGAAATCCCGTGTCCCAGATCATCCACAATAAAGAAACTCTAGATGATGAAGAACCGAAGAAAAAATCTCGTGAGGATTGGCGTAAAGCTAAAGAACTAGAAGAGGCACGAAAGGCTGGTACTGCACCTGCTGCTGTTGATGAGGAGGGTCGTGATATCAACCCACATATTCCACAGTACATTTCAAACGCTCCGTGGTATTATGGGGCCCAGGGTCCAACGCTTAAACATCAACGGCCGCAAAGAAGCGAGGACCGGGGAGAATTGGAGAAGCGAGCGCCCAAAGGAGTTGACACTTCTCGCCTAGTTACAAAGTTCCGAAAAGGGGCATGTGAAAATTGCGGTGCCATGACCCATAAACGAAAAGATTGTTTGGAAAGGCCACGGAAACTTTTAGCTAGGTATTCTGAGTCAATTGTTGTACATGATGAATTTATTATCAAAGAGGAATCGGTTAATTATGACGAAAAACGCGATCGATGGAGCTCGTATGATCCAGCATGTCACAAGGAAATAATAGAAGAATATGAAAAAGTAGAGGAAACAAAGAGACAACTGAAAGCAGAAAAATTAAAGAATGGTATGTAATAGGAAATCAGTTTTTAGAAGCATAAATTATTTATTTTTTTAACGAGTAGATCCCGATGCGGAACTATCCGACGATGACAACAACGAAGACAAATACGTAGACGAAGTTGACATGCCAGGCACAAAAGTAGATTCAAAACAACGTATTACAGTCCGTAATTTACGTATTAGGGAAGATACTGCTAAATACTTAAGGAATTTAGACCCCAACAGCGCATACTATGACCCTAAAACAAGATCAATGCGTGATAATCCAAATCCTAAAGTGCCAGCTGAAGAGTAAGTGTATTTTATACCCTGATTAGGACTATTTTAATCCCTTTCCTTTCTTAGAGCTGAATTTGCCGGTGAAAATTTTGTAAGATTCTCAGGCGACACGACTAAGCACGCAACGGCACAATTGTTTGCGTGGGAAGCTCACGGTAAGGGCGTTGATGTGCACTTATTAGCGGAACCCACCAAATTGGAACTGTTACAAAAAGAATACGAGAAAAAGAAGGAACAATTTAAATCTAGTGTAAGCCTCTGCTTTGTTTTTTTATTATATGTTATAACATGAATATTTTGTCATTTTATTCTAGACTAAGGATCACATTGTTGAGAAATATGGCGGCGATGAACATTTACAAGCTCCTCCAAAATCTCTGCTCTTAGCACAAACCGAAGAATACATTGAATATTCAAGAAGTGGTAAAGTTATAAAGGGAATGGAAAAACCCAAGGCTCGTAGCATTTACGAAGAAGATGTATTAGTCAACAACCATATGTCCATTTGGGGAAGTTATTACAATGGAGGCCGCTGGGGCTACAAATGTTGTAAATCGTTTATAAAAAATTCGTATTGTGTAGGTCTGAAAGATCCTGAAGCAATGCCAGAAACATCTACCGATATGGAATCAAAGGAACGGCTAGCTGACGACATAATCCTTTGTACAAAACAAACAAAAGGTACTGTCAATGACCACTCGGAGATTTCTTCATCATCCAGTTCAAGCTCGTCATCGGAAGAAGAGAAAGAGTTGCAGAAAGCGGCTTTAGAAAATACAAAAAATAAGAAGAAAATGAAAAAGAAAGAACGAAAACGAGCTAAAAAGATAAGAAAGTTAGAAAAGAAAATAGCCAAATCGAAGAAACAAATGGAACAATCAAAATCGCAAGAAGGGCTAAAGAGGGATAAAACCGAAGTGGACGATGAGAGAAAACGACCTTACAACAGTATGTATGATGTTAAGGCACCTACAGAAGAAGAAATCGAAGATTGGCAGAGAAAACGCAGAAGGGAGGAGGACCCAATGCTACAATTTATGAAATGAATTAACAGGCATGTCACAGAAACGATCGAAAGTGGCATTAACTCCGTAATATGCTTCTTCTTTCTCGGAACAGATACTTGTAACTCTACAACGCTCTAGAGTAAAATAACTTTTTTTATCTTGTTATTTAACATATAAATTATTCTTTTGTGAAAACTAAAGAAGGATAAACTGAAGCAGAGAAAAAACAAAACAAAAATAACAGTACGTTCAATTATAAAGGGATTAAAATTGTCATATCCATTATTTATACTTCAAATAAATCCTTTCAAAGTAGGTTAACCCTACAACAAGCTCTAACATAAACATGGAATAATTCAAAAATGATCTGCCCCAGAACTGCAAGAATGTAAAGATTTTACTACGATAACATATTTAGCCTTTATGTTATAAAAATTGGAAAACTAGTAGATTCTTGCAGGTGCTGGAACAGAGAAAACATATAAGTATTTTGAAATGTATGCCCTGCAAGAATGTAAAGATTTTACTACGATAACATATTTAGCCTTTATGTTATAAAAATTGGAAAACTAGTAGATTCTTGCAGGTGCTGGAATAAAGAAAACATATAAGTATTTTGAAATGTATGCCCTGCAAGAATGTAAAGATTTTACTACGATAACATGTTTAGCCTTTATGTTATAAAAAATTGGAAAACTAGTAGATTCTTGCAGGTGCTGGAACAAAGAAAACATATAAGTATTTTGAAAATTTTTGCCCTGTCCCAGAACCTGCAAGAATCTACTAGTTTTGCAATTTTTCCGATTTCATGAAGGAAACATCGGTTGTCGTAGTAAAAGGATTTACATACTTGCAGTTCTGTTCAATTAGGCGCACAAGAAAAAAATTAGAAAACAGAAGTTTTATTTATGAGTTAAATCCAAAGTTATTAAAATGCTCGCACCGCGCTGAGGTATGACAAAGGGGTAGGAGCATCTCTTAAATTCTTCCAACGTTTTTTACACCCTCCTCCATAGTATGGAGGATGATATAAAAAATGAAATGTCTTCGTGTTTTACTGAAATTAGGAGTGACATAAAAACTTGCAACGATCGTATTAATCATGTGGAATCTAATGCATCATCAAAACTATCTGATCTGCAAGCTGAGATGCATCGGAGCTGATTGCATCGGAGACTGAACAGAGCTGACATGTTAATTGGTGGATTGCCAGCGGGAATCGAAGATCTTCTTGCCCCTGTTCTATCCTTGGGCACATTTTTCAAGGTACCAATCTTTAGCAGTGACATTAGCCACGAATCTTACATAAGCAAGAAGACACAGATTCTGGTCAAATTTAATAATGTGCATGCCTGTGACTGTATAATGAAGGAATACTTCAAAACTTAAGGCGTGTGATATAATGGATGGAGCCTGTAGAGATTTAACTAAAGGTGTGTATCTTAACGAGCGTTACACTCAAGAATGCTGCCTCACTTTTGAATGAATCCCCAGATGTTTCCACTTAAGCAGTATTTGACACTTTCAAATTTTTTTAATACTTGCATTTCAATAACTAGTTTTCTAATGTTCTGTATTAGATCTCATTTCTTAGAATGTTATGATCAGCTGTATGAGTATATTAAGTTTGAATTTTGAATTCGTTTTAAATGCATTTATATTGTATAGTATTAGTTTTTTATTTCGATTCTTGGTTCCCCCCACAAACTGTTTTTTTGATTTATTATGCCCTTACGTGATAATCTAGGTCCAGTCGTGAATAATAACTCATACATAAAGGATGTACTTTGCCCATTTGACCGCAGTTTCAAGTTAGCTCATCTAAACTGCCAAAGTCTTAAACCTTTGTCAAAGATTGAAGAGTTGCGGCAAATCTTAAGAGATGGCATATTTCATATTTTTGCAGTCTCAGAAACATGGCTGTCGGCTGAAATTTGTAGTAAAGCTGTTTCCTTGCCTGGATATAAGTTCTGTCGGAATGACCGACATCGTCCTGGCAGAGGTGGGGGTGTAGGGATATTTATGCGTTGCGGAATTTCTTATAAAGTTGTGTATTCAAATATTATTTGCCCAATGGAAATTTAGTTGAATTTGAATGCCACCATAGATACCTATTTCCTAAATATTCCAAAGATTTTATTTTAGGGGATTTTAACACCTCTTTGACACATCCAGAGCCAATGCTTTTCGTTCTATCTGTGCCCAGTATAATATATCTATCGTACATAATTCCATGCCCACACATTTTAACTTATGTAGAAGATCAACCTCACTTATTGATTATATGCTTACAAGTGATAGTTCATGTGTGAGATATTTTGATCAGGTTCAATGTCCGTCTGTGTCTGACCATGCTCTTATTTTTGCATCTCTAGATTTCGATGTCCATTGCCCGTCCGATTTTATAGAGTTCCGTGATTTTAACAATATTAATTGGATTAGGTTATTTAGCCTTCTTGAGTCCTTTGATAATAATGCAATGTCTAATTCAATCGATGTAAATGAAAAATGTTTTTATTAAGGTGATTTGCTTGCTGATCTTTTTTCTTGTGTACCAATTGTTAGAAAGAAGATACAGTTTTCTTCAGATCGTTGGTTTATGGCAAGGGACGTTACTTTTGCAAGATCTGTAAGGGATCTAGCATATTCTGCTTTCCAGAGAAATCAGTCTCAGTAGAATTGGGTAAAGTATTGTAGGTATCGTAACAAAGCAAGGACAATAATTCGTAGGAATAAAAGGAGATATTTTTCAAAGCTTTTTGATAATATGAGTTCGTCTGGAATTTGGAAAGTGCTCAGGAATTCGGGATGTGTGCATCATGATAGCGCAGAATTTGCTATTGATGTCAATTATATAAATACTTTTTTCGCACAGGCCAATTCTACGTCGGATGATAATTTTCATATAACTCAATTTAATGACACTACTTCCTTTTCCTTTAGATGTGTTTCCGTGGTTGAGATTTTTGAGGCGATTTATAAAATTAAGTCGAATGCGGTTGGTATTAATGGAATACCAATCCACTTTATAAAACTTGTCATTCCTTACATATATGACTGTATTTTGGATTTGGTCAATTTCATCTTGACTTGTTCCTCTTTCCCATTAGCTTGTAAAAATGCCCGAGTAGTTCCTATACCAAAAGCTAAGAACGTACATAGTCCAGATGACTTACGTCCAATATCAATCCTACCAGCAATTTCAAAATTATTTGCATTCCGCCAGAGGCACAACACCACACACTTACTTTTAAAATCCACTAATTTCATCCGCCATAATATTAATGAACGAAAATTAAGTGTCCTTTTATCTCTTGATCTGTCAAAAGCGTTCAATTCCATTAACTTTGGTCATTTATTCACTAAATTAAAAGATAATTTTCATTTTTCTGGAACTGCCTGTAAACTGATTTATTCATTTATCAGAAATAGATCACAGTTTGTTGCTATCAATGGTAGCCAATCTGACCCAGTGAGTTTAAATAGTGGTGTGCCGCAAGGTTCTATACTGGGACCACTATTATTCCTTCTTTATGTTAATGACTTGTGTAATACCATGCAGTTTAAATCTTGTGAAACGTTGCAGTTTGCTAATGACATTTTCTTCATTTTAACTGGAGATAGTGATAACTTATCTTTGTTTGAAAGCAATGTAAATGAATGTCTGCAGCAATTCTATAATTGGACATCGACAAATTATCTTACAATTAATCCGTCAAAAACTAAGGCTTTGATGTTTGGTAAGAGGAATAATGCGGCTTCTGATATCAATGTTCATTTAAATTACAATAATATTAAATTTGTTACTCACCACAAAATTTTAGGTGTTATAGTGGATACTGAACTATCTTTTAGACAACATATTGATGCTTTATCTGGAAGAGTTTGCTTTTTGTTGAGAAAGATCTATTCCGCCAAATTATATATGCCTCTTCGTATTAGAAAATATTTAGCTCATGCTGTGCTGGTGTCTAACATCCTATATGGTTTGGAAGTAATCTCGGTCTGTATCGGGATCAATTTTACACGTTTACAGAGAATTTTGAATTCAGTTGTGCGTTTTGTTTACAACGTTCCCCGAACGAATCATATATCTAGATATATTAAACTTTTTCTGGGGTATTCTCTTACCGATTTTGTGTCTTATAGAATTCTTGTTGCCTTTTATAATATTACTAAATGTCGCACACCAACATCGCTATACAGTATCTTTATACCCTCAGCCATATGGCTACAGAGGATACATATCTTTTGATACGGTCAAAACGTGCCTAGTCGAAATGACGGGTTTAGACCCTGGTCTCTTTGGACCAAATCCGTTTCAGGACATTTGGAGTCGATCTAGCGATGTCCGTCCGTCTGTCTGTCTGGTACGCACGATAACTCTCGAAGGAAGCACTAGATTTCGTCCAAACTTTGTACATCGTAATATTTTTATCAAACTTAGATCGAGTTTGGAGATGGGCAATATCGGCCCACTCCTTCCGGTACCTCCCCCACAAAACGTCGAAATTTTCCAAAAATATATTTTCTACACAGAAAGGTAAATGATGATCCGATTTTGCTCCAACTTTGCGAATCCTAATATTTTTCTCAGTGCTAGGTCAAGTGCGAAAATGGACAATACCGGTCCACTCTATCAAGTACCTCCCCCACAAAGGGTCAAAATTTTGAATAATAACAAGTCTTATCAAATGTGAGTAAGACTCCATTGGTCTTCAAATTTCACACATTCCAATATTTTTATTAACCCAAAGTCTGGTGTGAAGGTGGAATACATCGGTCCACTCCTTCTGGTACCTCCCCCACAAAAGTTCGAAATTTAAAAAAAAAAATATTTTCTGCACAGAAAGAGAAAGGATGATCCGATCTTGCCCCATCTTTGCAAAACCTAATAAGGTGCAAAAATGGCCAATATCGGTTCACTCCATCAAGTAGCTCCCCACAAAAGGTCGAAATTTGCAAAAATATATTTTCTGCACAGAAAGAGAAAGCATGATCCGATTTTGCTCGAACTTTGCGAATCCTAATATTTGCTTAAGTGCTAGGTAAGGTGCGAAAATGGACAATATCCGTCCACTCCATCAAGTACCTCCACCACAAAGGGTCAAAATTTTGAATAATTATAACTCTTATAAAATGTGATCCAAACTTCTTAAAATTTCACACATCCCAATATTTCTATAAACCCAAGATCTGGTGCTAAGATGGAATATATCGGTCCACTCCTTCTGGTACCTCCCCCACAGAATGTCGAAATTTTGAATGCCCATGTGGCTCATAAAACGCCCAATTAACATTCGATTCCATTTAGACTTGGCACATCTGAATATTTCTATCAACAC